CATGCAAGGTGAGTAAGGGGCAGAGCAAGCAGGTGGAGGGGAGTGTGGAGGTCATCTGCTGTGGCCTCCTCCATGTCTCTGGTCACCGAGGATGGAGGCTGCACCCCTCTAGGCCCTGGCTTGGGTATCCATGCCCACTCCTCTGGATCAGCATACCTCATGCACCCTGCTCAGTGTATGCATACCTCATGCACCCTGCTCAGCACACCTCAAGCCCTGACCTGAGGGGGCGGTTCTGTCTCTTTGGGGAGGGGCCCATGGGTGCCCAGTCAGCCTGCCTCAGGGGCTGCCTCTACAATCCACACCCCCAGTGCTGTCAGGTGTGTTCACGGATGTGGAGGCTTCCCTGAAGGACATCAGAGACCTGCTGGAGGAGGATGAGCTGCTAGAGCAGAAGTTTCAGGAGGCGGTGGGCCAGACAGGGGCCACCTCCGTCCCCTCCAAGGCTGAGCTGGCAGAGGTGAGGCGAGAATGGGCCAAGTACATGGAAGTCCACGAGAAGGCCTCCTTTACCAACAGTGAGCTGCACCGTGCCATGAACCTGCACGTCGGCAACCTGCGCCTGCTCAGCGGGCCACTTGACCAGGTCCGGGCTGCCCTGCCCACACCGGCCCTCACCCCAGGTGAGCCCCACCCGACCCCATTGGGAGACTTGAGCTGGGGGTTTCTCTGGCCTCACTGACCACTGTTGCCCACAGAGGACAAGGCTGTGCTGCAGAACCTAAAGCGCATCCTGGCCAAGGTGCAGGAGATGCGGGACCAGCGTGTGTCCCTGGAGCAGCAGCTGCGTGAGCTTATCCAGAAAGATGACATCACTGCCTCACTGGTCACCACAGACCACTCAGAGATGAAGGTGGGCTGAGTGAGCAGGGTGGAGGGACTCTGGGCCCCACCCTTAGGAGTCGAGACCCTGAGTGTCCATCCCCGGCCCCCACCCCTCCCTCAGAAGCTGTTCGAGGAGCAGCTGAAAAAGTACGACCAGCTGAAGGTATACCTGGAGCAGAACCTGGCCGCCCAGGACCGTGTCCTCCGTGCACTGACAGAGGCCAACGTGCAGTACGCAGCCGTGCGGCGGGTACTCAGTGACCTGGACCAAAAGTCAGTGCCCAGTCCTCTGCTTTTGTCTGGAGCCACCTGGAGCCCACCCCCGTGGTTCACCTGGAGCTGGCCCTTCTGCCCACCAGGTGGAACTCCACGCTGCAGACCCTGGTGGCCTCGTATGAAGCCTATGAGGACCTGATGAAGAAGTCACAGGAGGGCAGGGACTTCTATGCAGACCTGGAGAGCAAGGTGGCTGCTCTGCTGGAGCGCACGCAGTCCACCTGCCAGGCCCGCGAGGCTGCCCGCCAGCAGCTCTTGGACAGGTTCGTGTGGCCCTGGGGCTGTGGTGCGGCTTGGGTCCAGACAGGCTGGGGTGATGGGAGTCTGGCCCCACTTTTTCCCTGCCTGTCCCACAGGGAGCTGAAGAAGAAGCCGCCGCCACGGCCCACAGCCCCAAAGCCACTGCTGCCCCGCAGGGAGGAGAGTGAGGCGATGGAAGCAGGAGACCCCCCCGAGGAGCTGCGCAGCCTTCCCCCTGACATGGTGGCTGGCCCACGACTGCCCGACACCTTCCTGGGAACTGCCACCCCGCTCCACTTTCCTCCCAGCCCCTTCCCCAGCTCCACAGGCCCAGGACCCCACTATCTCTCAGGCCCCTTGCCCCCTGGTACCTACTCAGGCCCCACCCAGCTGATACAGCCCAGGGCCCCAGGGCCCGCTGCAATGCCCGTAGCACCTGGGCCTGCCCTCTACCCAGCCCCTGCCTACACACCGGAGCTGGGCCTTGTGCCCCGATCCTCCCCCCAGCATGGCGTGGTGAGCAGTCCCTATGTGGGGGTAGGGCCGGCCCCACCAGTTGCAGGTCTGCCCTCCGCCCCACCTCCTCAATTCTCAAGCCCCGAGCTGACCATGGTGGTTCGGCCAGCCACCACCACAGTAGATAGCATCCAGGCGCCCATCCCCAGCCACACAGCCCCACGGCCAAACCCCACGACTGCTCCTCCCCAGCCCCGCTTCCCGGTGCCCCCACCACAGTCACTGCCCACACCTTACACCTACCCCGTAGGGACCAAGCAACCCGTCCCAGCCCAGCACCACTTCTCTCCTGGGATCCCTGCAGGTTTTCCAGCCCCGAGGATTGGGCCTCAGCCCCAGCCCCAGCCCCATCCTTCACGAGCATTTGGGCCTCAACCCCCACAGCAGCCCCTTCCACTCCAGCATCCGCACCTCTTCCCACCCCAGGCCCCAGGACTCCTACCCCCACAGTCCCCCTACCCCTATGCCCCTCAGCCTGGGGTTCTGGGGCAGCCGCCAACCCCCCTGCACACCCAGCTCTACCCAGGTCCTGCTCAAGACCCTCTGCCAGCCCACTCAGGGGCTCTGCCTTTCCCCAGCCCTGGGCCCCCTCAGCCTCCCCATCCTCCCCTAGCATATGGTCCTGCCCCTTCTGCCAGACCCGTGGGCCCCCAGGCAGCCCCTCTTACCATCCGAGGGCCCTCGCCTGCTGGCCAGCCCACCCCCAGTCCCCACCTGGTGCCTTCACCTGCTCCATCTCCAGGGCCCGGTTCTGTGCCCCCTCGGCCCCCAGCAGCAGAACCACCCCCTTGCCTGCGCCGAGGCGCTGCAGCTGCAGACCTGCTCTCCTCCAGCCCGGAGAGCCAGCATGGCAGCACTCAGCCTCCTGGGGGTGGGCAGCCCCTGCTGCAGCCCACCAAGGTGGACGCAGCTGAGGGCCGTCGGCCGCAGGCCCTGCGGCTGATTGAGCGGGACCCCTATGAGCATCCTGAGAGGCTGCGGCAGTTGCAGCAGGAGCTGGAGGCCTTTCGGGGCCAGCTGGGGGATGTGGGGGCTCTGGACACTGTCTGGCGGGAACTGCAAGATGCGCAGGAACATGATGCCCGAGGCCGTTCCATTGCCATCGCCCGCTGCTACTCACTGAAAAACCGGCACCAGGATGTCATGCCGTACGATAGTAACCGTGTGGTACTGCGCTCAGGCAAGGATGACTACATCAATGCCAGCTGCGTGGAGGGGCTCTCCCCATACTGCCCGCCGCTAGTGGCCACCCAGGCCCCACTGCCCGGTACAGCTGCTGACTTCTGGCTCATGGTCCATGAGCAGAAAGTGTCAGTCATTGTCATGCTGGTTTCTGAGGCTGAGATGGAGAAGGTGAGAGAGGGGCTGGGTGCCCACGAGGGCAGTGTGGGGTGGCAGGGCAGGGGATCCTGGAAAACCAGCCCTGTTTTGGTTTGTCCCTCAGCAAAAAGTGGCACGCTACTTCCCCACCGAGAGGGGCCAGCCCATGGTGCACGGTGCCCTGAGCCTGGCATTGAGCAGTGTCCGCAGCACTGAAACGCATGTGGAACGTGTGCTGAGCCTGCAGTTCCGAGACCAGAGCCTCAAGCGCTCTCTCGTGCACCTCCACTTCCCCACTTGGCCTGAGTTGTGCGTCCACTGCTCTGGATGGTGGCTGGGGGTCTGGGGTGCTGTCCAGTCCTTGGTGCTGGGAGGGATGAGAGCCTCAGATCAGGTCTGGCTCATAGGCTTTTCCCCACCCCATCCTGTCCCACAGAGGCCTGCCCGACAGCCCCAGCAACTTGCTGCACTTCATCCAGGAGGTGCACGCACATTACCTGCATCAGCGGCCGCTGCACACGCCCATCATTGTGCACTGCAGGTAGAGGGTGGGCCTGACAGTCTCTATGCGGGCTCTTGGTCTGGCCTTATTCCCCAGCCTCATAACCCCTTCTTGGCACAGCTCTGGTGTGGGCCGCACGGGAGCCTTTGCGCTGCTCTACGCAGCTGTGCAGGAGGTGGAGGCTGGGAATGGAATCCCTGAGCTGCCTCAACTGGTGCGACGCATGCGGCAGCAGAGGAAGCACATGCTGCAGGAGAAGGTAAGGATCTGGGCAGGTGGGGCTGGGATGGACCTTCTGTCTCCAGGTGACGGGCCCCTGCCTGGCTGACCCGGCCAAATGCACCTGTGCAGCTGCACCTCAGGTTCTGCTATGAGGCAGTGGTGAGACACGTGGAGCAGGTCCTGCAGCGCCATGGTGTGCCCCCTCCATGCAAACCCTTGGCCAGCGCAAGCATCAGCCAGAAGGTGAGGAAGGTTCCCTGGAAGCTGCTGGGACAGCCACAACCTTGGGACTCCCTCTCCTCACCCACTCTGTCTTCTCAGAACCACCTTCCTCAGGACTCCCAGGACCTGGTCCTTGGTGGGGATGTGCCCATCAGCTCCATCCAGGCCACCATTGCCAAGCTCAGCATCCGGCCTCCTGGGGGATTGGAGTCCCCAGTTGCCAGCTTGCCAGGCCCTGCAGAGCCCCCAGGCCTCCCACCAGCCAGCCTCCCAGAGTCTACCCCAATCCCATCTTCCTCCCCGCCCCCCATTTCCTCCCCGCTGCCTGAGGCTCCCCAGCCTAAGGAGGAGCCGCCAGTGCCTGAAGCCCCCAGCTCGGGGCCCCCCTCCTCCTCCCTGGAGCTGCTGGCCTCCTTGACCCCAGAGGCCTTCTCCCTGGATAGCTCCCTGCGGGGCAAGCAGCGGATGAGCAAGCAGAACTTTCTGCAGGCCCATAACGGGCAAGGGCTACGGGCCACCCAGCCCTCTGACGACCCCCTCAGCCTTCTGGATCCACTGTGGACACTGAACAAGACCTGAACAGGTTTCGCCTACCTGGTCCTTACACTACATCATCTCTCATGCCCACCTGCCCACACCCAGCAGAGCTTCTCAGTGGGCACAGTCTCTTACTCCCATTTCTGCTGCCTTTGGCCTGCCTGGCCCAGTCTGCACCCCTGTGGGGTGGAGATGTACTGCAGGCTCTGGGTCAGGTTCTGCTCCTTTATGAGACCTGACATTTTTCAGCTCTTTGCTATTGAAATAATAAACCACCCTGTTCTGTGGCCCATGTCTGAGTCTGCCCATTGCTGCCTCAGCTCCAGTAGCACTGGCAGGAACTTAGCACCTTTCGTGGATAACAGGATGGTACCAAACTGTTATACTACCAGGACAGTTCTTTAAGGGTCCTGCAGTTCTGGCTTGCTCATCCTCCCCGCTTTGCTACCTGTGCCATGCTGTATGTTTCCTCAGCAGCTCTGAGGAGAGTCCAGGCAGAGTGTGTGCACAAACAATTCCAAGAGAGACAAGTAGCTCCCAAAGTGCCTGACAGATGTGGTTTTTTAAAAAAGTTTAATATTACAGTCAGGAGGCAGCGGCTGGAAGATACTCGGCTCTTTCCCCCAAGTCCAGGTTCAGTGCATTGGCCCCCACACAGCACCCCAGACCCCTGCCTGGGCAGGGAGGCCCCATGCTCAGTCCAGCTTCTCCAGCACGGAGGGCACATACACCAGGCTGAGCTCACTGCCAAAGTTGCAGACAATGGCAGCGTTGTCCAGCACCAGGATCTGGCGGGCAGGCTGGGCCTCACTGTTCTTCCCCAGGTAGACTGTCTGTAACAGGTCCCCGTAGTTTAGGTCCCAAAAGGAGACACAGCCTTGGCCGCCGGTCACCAGCAGGTTGTCTGAGATGACACCCAAGCTTGCACCACAGCCCAGATCCTGGAGGCAAGGACATGACAAGCTCAGTCCTGAGTCCTTCCCTAAAGTCCCAAGAATCCTATGATCCCCACCCCCTCTACCTGCTGAATGGAGTAGAACTTGATGCCTGTGCTGCGGTCCCAGATGCTGATGAGGTCATCCAGGCCACTGCTGATGACACAGGAGGTGGTACAGGTGAGGGAGGTGACATCCCCACGGTGAGCAAACACGTGGCTGACCCGGCTGCCAGTCAGTACATCCCACAGGCAGATGGCCCCATCTTGTCCTCCACTGGCCAGCACCATGGTCTGGGGAAACAGGCCAGGGGAGCAGGGTCACTGTGGTGGAGTACCTCTGTCAAAAATGGTGTTCCTGTGCCCTGGTGGGTGGGGCCCTGACTCTGCTTCTTGGAAGGGGCCCAGCTCCCAGGAGTCAGCAAACATGGGCCACAGGCTCTGTACCCCCCTACCCCCCCTGCAGGCCCCTCACCTGGTCAATGTACACAGTCGTGATGGCCCCTGAGTGGCCCTGAAGGGTGAAGAGGCAGCACGAGTCCTCCAGACGGAATACCTGTGACAGGGATGGACGGCAGGTTCTGGTCTCTGGGATTTTCCAAGTTATACTTTGGCTGGGAAATGCCCTCTGTCCTTCACCAGGACTCCTCCAGCCTCTCCCTGACGAACGCATCAGGCTCCCACCCTGCGCCAGGCCACTCCAGCACCCAAGAGATGAGACAATACTCACTCTCAGCGTGTGGTCTTGACTCCCAGTCACCAAGCGCCCGGCAGCGGCTTTCAGGGCTGTGATGGGTTTTTGGTGTGCACAGGGCACTGTGTGGGTCAGGCGACAGGCCACTGTGTCACTGCTGCTGTACACTGGAGAGGCAGGGGAACTGCCCCGCCCTGGGGTCCCTGAGGACAAAAGGCCAAGTGAAGGATCTCTGAGAAGGCAATGGGCAGACAGCCCCTGCACATCCCACCAAGTGTGAACACCTGCCCACCCCAGGCCCTCTGACCTCTAAACTGCAGGGGGCTGAGGGCAGTGTGGGTCTCCAAGGAGAAGAAATCAAGGGAACCGTTGAGTCGCGCAGCCACAATCCTGGAAGAGAAGAACAGCTGCCAGGGGCCTCTCCCTTAGAGCCCCAGGAGAGCCCCAATCCTGGGGCTGAGTATGTGGGCACAAGAGAGATAAAGGGCCAGTTCAAGAAGGGACAGGAGGGACATGGCCAAGAGGAAAGCACATGGTACCAGAACAGATGCTGGAACCAGAGGGCAACTCCAAATATTAACCTCCTTGTGCCTCAGTTTGTCTGCAAAATAGGGATAAGAGTACCCACCTCACATAATGGTCATGAGAATCAAGTGAGCTAACGTGTAAGGTGGTACCTGGTGAATGTCACATAAGTTTGTAAATTAAAAACAAGCAGAGGGCTCCATGTAGCCTGGAGCTGAAGGGAAGGCTGCTGAGGGGAAACAGGATGCAGAGTGGGCTATGTTGGGCATTGTGGAAGCCTGCATTCTCCATCACATAAAAGCAGCTTCAACCCAATCACAGCCCACACCAATTCCTTTTTCCACAAAGAAGGATTTTTTTTTGCTCTTCAAAATTCCTAGGTACAATCTGACAGGCAGGGATGGGTATATTTGCCCAATAACTCCAAAGCCTCAAAGCAGGTGGGGTTCAAAATCTTACTGTAGCGAAAGGCAACGCATGCCTACAACCTCTGCCCATGAATTTGAAGGGCCACACCAGACCTGGGGAAGCCACAGTGGTATGATTGGAAGTGGGTGGACAAAGAGAGACCACAGTCACCAGGAACCCTGAGGATCAGGGCTGAGACCTCGGGGCTTTCCTTAAAGCTAAAACAAGCAGCAAAGGAGAATTTCCAAGAAGCACAGAGGGACCTGGGGAAATTGGCCAGGCTGGAGAGGATGTCAGCCAAGGCCCATGCAGAACCTGTGCTGACAGGAATGACGGCAGCAGCCACTGGCAGAAATCCACAGCACTAAGGGCAAGGGACGCCCCCTCCCCAAGGAAAAAGAAACACTCCAGCTCTAGGTCAGATGGTGCTGCCACCAAGAGTCAAGGAGCCTTGGAGGAGGAGCCAGTGTGGGACAGGCAGGCGAAGGCGTTCGGTGGAAGGCACCTGGCCATTGGGTGGAGACCCAGGTTCACCAGCTCAGAGGTGGGGCCAGAACCCAGGTGACTGAGACTCCCCAAGGAGTGTGCATGCAGACGGAGCCCTGGCGACGCCCACAGCCAGCAGGCTTGCTGAGGAGGGCAAGCACGACAGGACCAGGGAGAGCAGAGAACAGCCGCCAGCAGCCAAGGAGAAGAGGGTTCTGCAAGCACACTTGGTTTCTGTAACTAAAAATGCAACCAAGATACCCCAAAGGCTCAAGACTGACAAGCTAATCAGAGAAACTGGCTTCATTGAGAAGGGTGAGAAAGGACAGGAGTGTATCACTCCCCACTGTCACTGCTTAAGGCCCTGGGAGGTCACCTTGTGCCAGGTCCAATTCCGAGCACATCACACCCCTAATGCTTTTAATTGTTACCTTCCCATCCAAGTGGACTGCCCTCTGCTTACACGTGTGGGGCTGGTCATCAAGGTCAATCGAAACATACAGTGCAGCAGTGGACAGGAACCAGGACTCAAGACTCAAGAGAGTATGGCCTAGCCAACAAAGGCTGGGGACATCTGGGGCTGGGGCAGGCCACACTCACCTTTTGTCCAAGAAGACCAGAGCAGTAATGCCTGAGGAGACCTCCTCGCTGCTGCAGCACAGCACCCCTTCAATGGCGTCCCACACCTATAAGTCCAGAGGCTGTGAGCACCTGCCCACCAGAAAGGCCCACAATCCCCGGGGTGGACAGCCGCTCTGCCCACCTTTAGCCCCTCTGCCCACCTCCAGCCGGCCGCTGCTCCGCCCCACCACGATGAGGTGGCCCTGCAGCTCCAAGCTCCAGATGGAACCCTCCGCACTGGGGGCCCAGGCAAGGGAAGGGGAGCCTTTCTCAGGGGAGCCACCCTCGTCCTCAGGGGCCTGGGGCAGCACCGGCCCAGGCGAGGGTGGGCGCAGGGCTGGTGTGCAGACAGCCGCCAGCCCCTCCTCCTGGTACACGCGCTGCACCAGGCGGCTGAAGTCATAGCCTAGGGAGTCCCGAGCTCGGCCACAGACCGCCCGGTGCCGGGGCTCAGGCTGAGTGGGCTGTGAGGGCTGTGGCTGTGCCGAAAAGTTGGTGTCAATTAAGCAGGTGAGGTCAGGCTGGTCCTCGAAGAGGGAAAGCGGTGGAGGGTCCCGGGGGCGGTGTCTCAGGGGAGGGCTGTCCCCAGGCTCCTCTGGGCCAGCCTTCCCACCATCTGAAAGTCGTTCCCAGCTCTCCTGAGCCTCAAGCCCGCTGCCCACGCCACTGTCCCGGCGCTGCCTGCTGGGGGCCAGGATGGTGGAGTGAGAGGGGATGTAGGAGAGGGGGTGTGGGGGAGGGGGAAAGGGTGAGAGGGGGAAGTGAGGGGCCATTAGAGGGGACAAGCGGAGAGGGTGCGGTGTGGGGGTGGGAGGGAGCCTGGAGGGGTTGGGGGATACGTCAGAGGGAGAAAGGAGGGGAGATACATGGCTGCACGGGGTAGGTGGTGGGGTGAGGGGGGTGGGGGGGCACAGAGGAGAGGGCAGCCGCACCTACCCTGGGCGTGGGATACGCGTGAGGCAATCCCCGGTCTGTGCGTCCCACACACAGACGTGGCCTGCCAGGCAACAGCTCACCAGCAGCATGCCGTCGCTGGCCAGGCACTCGATATCCTGCGGGAGCCCAGTGTTGGTGTGGGCCAGGCCCCAGCCCTCCCCTGCCTGGCCGCTGTGCCCCCGCTCACCATGAGGTGGCCGCGCAGGACCAGCGGCACAATCTCCGTCTCAGGTGGTGCATAGCCGTAGTCGTCGCAGGGCAGCTCTCCGCGCCTCCGCCGCCCGGGCCCGCTGCCCGGCTGCCCGTAGTTGCGCGGGCACAGCACGCGGTACAGGCAGAGCAGCAGCAGCACCAACACAATGCCCGCGGCTAGACCCAGTGCCGCCACCCTGCACGGGAAGGCGGACTGCTGTGAGACACACCTCATAGCCTGTCCCCTCCCCTCCTCCCTCTCCCCTACTCTTGCCCACCTGTCCCCTTCCCCGCACTCTATCCCACCCCACCCCACCCAGCAACCTTACTTGTACAGTGTGACGTCTCCATGGGCCTGCACCCCACCTGGGCCCTTGGGTCCCGCTTCCCAGTGCCCAGCAGGTATGGGCCCCGGTGGGGGCCAGGCACTGCGGCCATCCTGAGGGTGCCGGCCCTCCAGGGCCTCCCTCGGGTTCAGGCGGAGTGTGACTGGGATGACGGGCAGCAGGCTGATGTACCTGGATCCGGACAGTGGGCAGCCTCAGCGGGGGGCCTCCCAAGGCTTCCTCCTACTGTGCCTGCCAGCCAGTCCGCTCCCTCCTCCCCAGGCAGGCCTCAGCTCCACCGGCCAGACTCTCCCAGCATGGGGGTTGGGGACAGAGGTAGGTCCCTCCCCAGCCCAGCCTGGCAGCCAACCTTGCTGTCCCAGATACCAGCACCCAAGCAGCCCTTCTGACCGTGTGGGGTATCTCCCTCCCCACTCCTGGCACAGGTGGATGGGTCTCATTCTAGCGAGGGCTGGCAGCCACCTGTGACTCCTCAGAGGAACCTGGGGTTGCTCTTGGGTTATGGCTGCCTAGACCACCAGTTCCCACCTCACAACCTTATGAATTGTTTTAATTATTTGCAGAATTCAAACTGTGGCCTCCTACATTGGGGAAAGGGGATGGTGAGTTGACACCATCGAGTGAGGAGGTGGCACCTGGCATGGCCCAGCTCACCTCTTGGCCAGTGTGATGTTGTAATAGCTGAAGAGCGTCGGCCAGTGGCGGAAGGACAATTTCCTCCAAAGTTCCTCATCCTCAGGCCCCCAGGTTACCTCTGGGACTGGGCTGTCATGGACAACCTCTGCTGGACCTCCATGCTCAGGTGGCTCGCCTGGCGATGTCTGGTTCTCAGGTAGCTTAGGGGCATCAGGTGGGAAGATGGAGAAGGCAGGGTCCGGGTGGCTGGCGGGCAGCATGCCACTAGGCACGGGCATGGGAGCCAGGGCTCCCTCACCCAGTGGGCTCTGTTCCGTCACCTGGGCAGCGAGGTAGGTGCGCAGCCCTGCTGGGTCTGTGTATACCAGGATGCCAATCCAGACAACGGTGCCAGCCTGCAGTGGAGCAGGGTACTCAGTGGGAGGAATGGGCCTCAACCCCAGCAGCTTCAGCCCTCATGCTGAGAGGAAGCAGCACGGGGACCTGAGGCCTAGGGATGGAGAGAGGACACAGGCCCCACTGTGTGCTTTCCTCCTGCCTCTCCGAGTCCTCCTGCTAATACCTGCCAGCACTTGCTGCTGGAGGGCCTGCTTCCCTTTCCACAGTTAGGGGCTGAGTTTCTTGGCCTGGAAATAGACTGAACCACCCTGAGGTCTGACACAGAATGTCCCTGTCCCTAATCTCCACCTCAGCTGGGATCAGAAAGCTGCTACCATTCATATGGTCAGCATGGCCAGAGGGCCAGCTGCCTGACCTGCTCCAGAGTCCCCCAGAGGGCCTAGTCTCAGGGGGCCTCAGCCTTCCTCCCGTCTCAGTTCAACTCCCTGGGAGAGGCACTGCTGCCCCACAGCCAGCGCAGCCTGGCTGGTGACTGATTTTGCCCAGCACTTTCCACTGTCTGCACACCATGCAGCGGCCGATGAAATGTGGCCCAGGGAAATGTGGTGGCCACAGGTGGGTCCATCCCAGAGCACTCGACTAACAGGCTCCTGTCCTGGGCCACTCTCGGGAGAGGATGGCTCCTGTACCTGAGAGCCCTGGAGCTGCTTCTCCCACAGGCTTGTCTCCTCAGAAGCCACCAGGGTCTGGGCAGGGAGGACACAACAGGCAGCTCCCCAGAGCCAGGTTTCCAGGGGCCACCAGAGCCTGAGGAGCATCCCTCGCCACTCTAAGGCCAAGTGCAGCACCACAAGAGGCCTGGAGCGCTGGCCCTCCAGAAGAGGGCAGGGCAGGGGTGGCAGGTACCATGATGAGACGCTGTGCCAGGCGGGTGCGGGCCAGGAAGTAGACAACACGCAGCCTCTTGGGGAGCCGCAGGTTTCGGAAGGAAGACGGCTGCAACGTGATGGTGTGGGGTGTGGACGGCCGCACAGCCAGCTGCCGCTCGTAGCGCGTTGGCTGCCCCACTGGCTTGGCTGAGGGTAGGCAGGCCTCAGGGGGCAGCCGCTTGTTCAGGTCCGCTAGCTGTTGGGGGCACAGTGGTCAGGGCCCGAGTCCACCATCCAGAGGGTGCCCGCACAGGACCACTGCCCTGCCCAAGGTCCACACCCTTCTCACCCAGGAATCCCTCAGTACAGCCAGGGCTGAGGAGGTGGGCGGGGCAAGGCTCAGCTCACTCCTACCTCCATCCGGCGAATGTCAATGGACAGGACAGTGGTGAAAAACAGCATCTGAAGGAAGAAGTCAGAC